TATACACATCCTACAAAATGCTCTCCTACCCGTAACCTGCCTAGGAACAAATGACACTATATTCCTAATCCCTCATTACAAATACAATTAACATTGCAATCACAAAAGCCAAATAGGCTTTCTCTCAACAAGCAAGAGACAGTATTTGCTAAACTCCCTTGCAAATTCCCCTGCAATGTAGAGACTTTGTTGCTTAATTCATGGAGAGCGCCCTTCATCTTCATCTCAATCAATTTTAGGATAGTATCAGGAAACAGAACCTCTTCAATTGCTTGGCCATAACATAACTCTCCCCTTAACTGGATTATTTCCTTTTGGATTTTTTCTCTTCACTTAAAGCAAAAATAACTTCATGCTCTTTTCCCGTACCACTTGTCATGCCATTCAAAGCACATTCCCTTCTGCATTGGCTCCCTGACCCTGTTATTAGCACACAATCAGCCTAACAAAAAAGGGAAAACCACTGATTCAAACAGAACCAAGCATATACTCAACCCAACAAAAATGGAAAAACCACTGATTCAAACAAAATCAAGCATACACTCAGCCCAACAAAAAAGGTAACAACACTGATTCAAACAGAACCAAAAATGAAACTGATATGCATACCTTTTTTTCTTTTTCCTTTCTCCACACCCGGTCTAACGAACTTCTCCGACTTGCTCCTCCGGTAAGAGTTCGGATTATCCATGTCCAAATCCGAATCAGAATCAAGATCCGACGCCAAATTGCCCTGCATTTCCAAATCAATCTCTTCTATGGAGAGTTCCCCAGCATCTTCCGAAGATTGCAGTTGGCAATTTTCAGTGTTTCTGACGACTTCCTCGTAGAGTTCATCCTCGGCATTGTTGCCTTCGAGATTCTCGGTGGATAATCTGCCGGACTTGGCGAGGAGAGTAGCGATGATGACGTTGCAGAGGAGGAAGACGAACAGCTGACTAGCGATGGCGCCGCTGAGTTTGGCAAAAAACTCACCACAGATCTTGACGAAGATACATCTCTATGGCCTAAATCACTTTAAACTTAAATCAAAATAGAGGGAAAGAAGTCAAGTCTGGAAGGAATTGAAATGAGCAGAGGAAGGAATTAAAATGAGTAGAAGCAAATCAAAACAGAAGGAAAGTTCAATCGAGGGTGAGAGTGTGAGATTGAAACCCTAGATCCCCAATTTATTGTTCTGGTAAGGGTTCTTTAGTAAAAGCATTGGAGTGCCATCTCGGTAAACCCAGGTGGAGTAAAATTGGTCCACATCAGCACCCAATCAGCCCCCAGTCAGCGCCAACTCATCAGGTTTTAACGGGCAATGGAGGGTCCAACGGTTGGATGACGTCATTCTCATTAAAAGGGGTGTTCTGCGGATAACATGAAGTAGAGGGGCTGATTTGCCATAGTTTCTAGTACAGGGGCTGATCTGCCACAACATGGCTGGTAGAGGGGCTGAATTGCACCTTCTGCCTATCAACTGAGGTTTGAACAGTAAATAAAAACAGATGAAAAAGGCGTCCAGCCTTTGGTGGGGTTTGGTGCACACAATGTGGCTTGGGATTCAAATCCCAAGCCTTATTTCCCTTCCCCTACAAATTCTCCCTGTTTAATAAAAAAAAAAAAACAGATGAAAGGCAACAGATAAACAGCAGAAAATTTATATGAAACAAAACTATAGCCGACGGAAAACGGAAAACTATAGCTGTGTTTCAGCACCTTGTAGGGAGTTGACACCCTCTTGTATCTCCTGGTCTATGTACTCCTGGAGTGGATCATAATCGCTGACCATTTCATCGTGTGGAGGGTAGGACGCAGGCTCATACTCCACCGGAAGCCTCGGTGTCTGGCGTCCAGCAGAAGCCTCTCCTTCAGAATTTTCAATGCGAATTATCGTCTCCATCGGGCCAATCCCATCCGTCTGTTGCTGCCGTTGCTGGAGTTGTTGACCCTCCCGATTTCTTCTTGTGCAGCACACAAACCAAATGAACAAAACCCCAAAAATGCTTAAGACAAAAAGCACTATTGCTTCATGTGTTGTCAAACCATTGACAGAGAAGGGACCAACAGAAAAACCTGCTGCCATTTCTCAAAGAAAGGAGAGAATGATTTTAAGTCTGACTCTCTGAGAGGAGTTTGTAAAAGGAAAAAGCAAGGTTTGCTTTGAAGCTGCGAAGTCTGAGGTCTCTAATATGAGAATCATACATTCAGACCTATGTCAAGGCGGCAATGATATATAGATTATGTTACAAAAGAACCAAGATATTGCTACTGTTAGTGCAAAAAGTCTATAACAAAAAGAACCAAGATATTGCTACTGTTAATGCAAAAAGTCTATAACAAAAAGAACCAAGA